TTCAATATATTTATCAATTATCTGGATGCAGGAGTTGAATGCACCATTAGCAAGTGTGCTGGTGACTCTTACCAGGGACCAGAGGTCTTGCAGGGGGATCTAGATAGACTGGAACATTGGGCAATCATCAGTGGCATGAAATTTAACAGGAACAAATGGCAGCTTCTGCATCTGGGACAGAGAAACATCAGGCACAAGTATAGACTGGGAGACAAATGGCTGGAAAGCAGCCCTGCAGTAAGGGATCTGGGGGTGCTGATTGACAGCAGGCCCAATTGGAGTCAGCAGTGAGCCCTGGCAGCCAAGTGGGCAAACCATGTTCTGTGGTGCATTAAATGCAGTATAACCAGCTGGTCAAAATAGGTGATTATTGCCTCTGTATCTAGCAGTGCTTTGGCCTCCCTTTGAGTACTGTGTGCAGTTCTGGGCTGTATAATTAAAAAAGGATGTAAAGGTACTTGAATGCATCCAGAGGAGGGCAACAAAGCTGGTGAAAGGGCTGAAAGGAATGTCCTATGAGGAGCTGCTGAGGGCTCTGGGTTTGTCTAGTTTGGAGAAAAGGAGGCTGAGGGGTGACCTCATGGCTCTCTGCAGCTTCCTGAAGAGAAGCAGAGAGGAAGCAGGGACAGGTGCTGAGCGCTTCTGTCTGGTATCCAGTGACAAGATGTGTGTTCAAACTGCACCTGGTTCAGACATGACATTAAAAAGCATTTATTTGCCAAGAGGGTCATCAAGCACCAGAACAAGCTTCCCAGAGAGGTGGTCAATGCCCCATGTCTGTCAGTGTTTAAGAGGCATTTGGACAAAGCCCTTAAGAACATGCTTTAACTTTTTGACAGTCCTGAAGTGGTCAGGCAGTTGGACTAGAGGACTGTTGTAGGTTCCTTCCAACTGAACTATTCTACTCTATAGCTAATAACTGAAGAACAGTAAACCTTGCTGGATGTCAAGTCAAATGGAAGCATGTCTAAAGAAATCAAACCTCTCACCAGTCAAAAGCTTTTTTTGTTACAGTTCTAAATCATGCACAGACTCCAACAGCCTCTGTGGTGGGTTGGCCTTCACTGACAGCCAGGTGCCCACCAAGCCACTCTCTCACTTCCCTTCCTCTGCTGGATGGGGAGAAAATAAGATGGTGAAACTTCCGGGTTGAGATAAAGGCAGTTTAATGAAGAAAAGCAAAGGCTGCATGCCAAAATAAAGGAAACAAAAGGATTTATTCTCTACTTCCCATGAGCAGGTGATGTCCAGCCACTTCCTTGGAAGTAGGGTTTTACTATGCATAGCAGTTACTTCAGAAGACAAACACCTTTAAAATGCCCCTCTCCCTTCCTTTTCACTTTTAATGCTGGTCATTATATCATCTGGCATGGAAGATGCGTTTGATCTTTTTGGGTCAGTTGGCCTGGCTCTGTCCCCTCCCAATCCCTTCCCCAGCCTATCAGCCTTTGGGGGCAGGGCAAGGTTGGAGAGACAGCCTTGATGGTGTGTGAGCACAGCTTAGCAGTAGCCAAAACATGCCTGAATCATGGATACCATTCCAGCTACAAACAGAAAGCACAGCACCATGAGGAAAGTAAACTCCATCCCAGTCAGACCCAATACAGCTTCTCAGAAAATAACCCAAAGATGCCTTGCACAGTCATGGCTTGCTCAGGTTTTCTTTTGAGAAAGAAAAGGGAGGACAAGGTAAAAGACCAAGGAATTAATAATTTATTACCTGTATGAAATAAAGCCTTTAAAGGCTCATGCTTTGTGGCCTTATGGTTAAGGCTCGGCGCCCTGGTTCAGAACACAGCACGGCAGCCCAAATCCCCAAGGCTGCTCGGGCTAAGAACTCGCAGATACCAGCATGGCAGACGGTTCGAAAGCCCTTTATTGGTTTTCTCATCGATATATATACCCTTGGTTCTACTTCTACTTTCTGGGGTCTAACTTTTACCTTTTATGGTTAGTAAGGAAACTGGGAGAGGCCAGTGTTAGGAGAGGTTACATTCTTTGGCCTCTTTTCCTGTGGCTATCTCTTATCTCTCTAAGTCAGGGGAGAGAGGGGCCCTATCGGTTTCCGTGACAGCCCGAGATCTTCCGAACGCCTGTCCCTATTCTCTCTGCCGCAATGCTTTACAAAGTTTTCTCCTCTTCTACTTCCCTCCATTTTTCCCATGGTCTAACATATATTGTTTGGATGATGAAAAGGCTTCCAAAGAAGATACAGTCCAATAAAAAAAAAAAAACAAAAAACCCCAATCCAACTCCTCTTCTAACTACCAATTTTTGCATTCTTTGAAAAAAAAAAAAATCAAGGTAAGGAAAAAAGAAAAGAACAAAACCCAAGCAAACCATTTCTGATACTCTATACACAGTAAGGTGTAGATTATCCTATGAAAGTGACTAAAGAGCTTCCACCAAAATGTTTTCATTTATACTTTGTTAAGCTTGTTTTTTTTTTTTTAAATACAATCTAAAAGCAGAAATTTTAAAAATTCAAAATTAAGGCAAATATAATTATACATGTACATCATCCTCGGAACACAACAACTATTTTACTACATTGTGAAAAGGTTAGACTAGTAAACATGAAGAGCTAATGACTAAGGATGGCTGTGGGTTCAAAATTATTAGTAATACTTAACATGCCAAAAAATAGGTCCCCTGTATGATACAATCATTCTTTTCTGATAGTAAGTGATGTTAGAAACAGTTGGAGGGGTTAGGTTTGTTTTTTTTAAATAAGGATATAGCTTTTAATTCCATTTATATATACACTTTTTTCCTCACATGAATATTTCGGAAATGTTAATTTCTCTACACTTTAGGTTCCTGGCATTATTGTAAGTGACTGCATCTAAACAGTTATTGTTTAAATGTACTCAACCACTTTAAGACAAGGCTGGTCATGTCCTATAGCTACCTCTTAAAAATCAGGTAAATAATTATCCTTGAAAAAAGTATAAGAATTACCTGATTTGTTTTTTATTGTTTCCTGACAGTCTCTTAACCCAGATCACCAGTCAAGAAGATAGAGGATTTTGCAGAATAAGAGTGATACATGAATATTTTAAATCAAGCCAAAAAAGTTCAAAAGTTTATTTCAATATTCTCACCATAAGAAATGAATTCCTTCCTGCTAAGACATCTTCTCTCACTTTTCCACTAACGTTTGAGAGAAAAAAGGCATACCACTTAACTTTAAAATTTAATTTTCAATAGTCTTTCAGGGAAAATTTTGCCTTAAATATTTCCCAGTGCATAATCTACAAGTTTGCGCATGTTATTTATTCAAACAATTCTTCAATTGTTCTAGATGCCTTGCATTTGTATCCTGTAGAATTAATACAGTGGCTTTAGACTGAAAAAGGATTCAACTCTATAGTCATCAGAGACCTATCAGTCATCCTTGACATTTCTCTAAACCATGCTTAAGCGTTGGATGTGAAATGGTATCTTTTTCAACATATTCATTTCAGGCAGTGAAAATCCAATTAAACTTGTTAGAACATCATCAGCAAAATCTACTTTTAGATAAACTGAACCATCAGAAATTTTTGTGTTTATACCCCTGGACTCATTGCTGCTTGTGAGGTTTCATATTAAGACTTAAAATAAAACATCTAACTTTCAGAATTAGAAATTATTCTCTCATCTCATTAACACTGTGAAGAGCACAAGTGAGAAGCCTCATTTACAATATAAACAGGTTGGGGTCTGTATTTGTATCATAGAGGTGATTTTTACACTTTAATCATGTTAAATCTTTGGAACTGACAACAGAAGGCTAGCCTGATCTATCAATGTTATCTAGAGACCCAGTCCAGGATTTGGCTATAATAGCACCAAATTTTGGTGGTCATTGTCTCAAGAACATCAGTGGTTAATAAGCTCTAACTTCTCATAGTTTTGGAAGCATCTATGCACATTTAAATTGTATAACTGCACTTGGAAACTATTTATCCCCTAAAGGGGGATGACCAAGGAACTCAACCTCCCTACAGAATTACACCAAAGAAAAAATACTATAAGAAGAGTAAAAACCCACAAAGTTTTTGTCTTCTGATATTATAACCTGCAGCTAATAAAAAAATACCCTGCCTTTAAATTTGCCCCAAAACTCTACTACTTGGAAAAAACGGTACAGTTACTTACAGGAAATAACCCATTTGTTTACTCATTTCCGTAAGTTTCTCATGTCGTCCATGCAGTCCTTAGACAGCCTGTCACCAGCTTGGCGCTGCTACCCTGTGCCAAGCCCCCCGGAGGCGGTAAGGCCAGCTGTCACCCCACATCCCTGTGGACACCGACTAGCTGCAGTGGACAGCAAAGGATGCTAAGACGAAGTGGCCTGCCCCACCAGAGTCACATTAAGGACGACGCATGCCTCCCTACTCTTCAAACAGGCTGACCAAAACCCAAGCCCCTTTCCCCACACCCCACCCTCAGCCGAACCACCCCATACACTTATCTGAGGCAGGGGTGGTGCCGAACGAGCGGGCGGGCAGAACCAGCAGGGCAGCCTGCTTCCCCTCACCTGAGTTGTAGGTGGGAAGAAAGACGAGAATACACTTGCTCTCTGTACACAACCCCAAAACACCGCGCGACTCAACAGCCAATAGGAGGCGTGGCGCCACGCGCGGCTTTAAGCATCGCAAGAACACTGCCCCGCCTCCTCCAGTGCTAAGGAACAAGCACAAGACGGAGTTTTCGCAGACGCCATTTTTTTCAAAAAACCTCTGAGGTCTCTCTCCTTTGCTGCCTTCTATTGTCTCCACTGTTCTTGCCGCACTTCTCGTGGCCCCCGTCAAGCAGGTAAAACAAACAAACAACCTAGGCACACTGCAGCGGTGCAGGGTGGCTAGTGCTCTTCTCGTGATCACTTAGGCCTGTCTCGCCGTGGTCTACACGGAGGGCGGGGCAAACTAGAGGCCATCCCTGCCCTGATGGGCAGCTGCCTTACCCAATGGGGCCGCAGTGGGTCCCTCACGGGGGGAGGAGAGGAGGTGGTTGGGCCAGTCATCTGGCGGTGTTGGTGAATGTGTGTTGGTAGTCGGAGTTACTCGCCTTTTTTTTCCGTACGTGGTGGGTGCAGGTAAGCGTGGTTTGGAGGGGGTGTTGCTTGCACTGGGGGTGGGGTAGGGGGGATGGATTAAGCCGGGTTGAAGGAAACTAAGCTGTTGATCGTACCCCTCCCGACCCTGTTGTGTGAGACAAAAACACGGGAGGCCTGTCGCCGCCGGGCTTCAGGATTTTCTTGGACTCTCGCAGGGACTGCGCAGGGCGGCGGAATTGAGTAGGTCTGGGGACTGCTGCGTGGAGAAGGAGGGGCCCGGGAGTGATGACTCCTTAGTTAATGTGGAGTGGTTTTGTGCAACCTGCGGACCCAACGGGCTCCATCTGCCCTAAGGGAAGGGCGAAAAGGATGATTTGTGTCTCAGCTGTCGCACTTTGGTGGCCTTAGTGCGAGAACGGCGGCCCAACTGGTGCCGTTCCTGGAGTGGTGATGTGGTCGCACCAGCGGGTGCGTGCTAAGGTCGGGGGGGGGGGGGGGGGGGCCGACCCTTTCTGGCGCCTACCTAGGGTAGCTGTGGATGGGGTGAGTTTTTGGTAATTATGGTGGGCAGAGAAGAAGACGAGGGCACTCTGCTGTGGCCTGTGCGGAAGCAGCCGTGTGAAAACGATTGGGGAGCGTTCTGCAGCAGAGCCTGCTTTTAGGGGCGGGGGGCGGTCGCCGACCCTTTCTGGCGCCTACCTAGGGTAGCTGTGGATGGGGTGAGTTTTTGGTAATTATGGTGGGCAGAGAAGAAGACGAGGGCACTCTGCTGTGGCCTGTGCGGAAGCAGCCGTGTGAAAACGATTGGGGAGCGTTCTGCAGCAGAGCCTGCTTTTAGGGGCCATGCCAGAGTTCTCGTGGTAGGGCTGTTGCGCTCTGTCGGCCCTGCTTAAGCTGGGGTGAGGGCCTCTGAGTGCCTCCTTTGTGTCTCTCTGGTCGGAGTGGGGGAAATCTTGTGACCGCGTGGTGGTGGTTTTTCGGCTCACTGCTCCGCCTAGCAGTGGGTAGGCGCTATCACAGCGGCCGCCATTTCTGCTGGTCCCCGCCACCGCGGAGGTGGGTCTCGGACTGTGGGGGTTATGTAACGGCACCTTTCCCCCTCTCACCTAGGGCGTGAGCTGGGATTTCGAGCGCTCGGCGGCTGGCTGGTTTTAGAAGCTGTGCGAGGGTTAAAGGTGAACGTCAGCCTGAGCAGACTGGCGCGTGGGCTGTGGAAGGGGAGGCGTCCGGGCGAGAAGGGCCCTTAGTCCCGGAGGGAGCGGGGTAGAGACACACCGGCATCTCCCAGCCCCTCTACTCTTGTCCGTGACTGCTTTATTCTTTAGATGTTTTTAAAAATGTTGCGTTAGCCAATTTAATCCTGTAAACTCGATTTGCACAAAAGAGCACAGCAACTAGTCGAGAGCATCTTGTCCTGAACAGTATATTACACTTCTCCCCCCGGCAGCTCTAGAATTTTTGGGAGGGTCGTAAATAGCATAGGGTCTGGAAGGGTTAGCCATTTGAACCTGGTGAAATTTCTCTTCCTGCCCCCATCCCTGCGTTCTAGCAGCGTCTGTTTTGACACTTGGCTATTCTTTAGGCGATGCTTTTTCTATTAGCTCAAATTAAGGGCCTGGAAATACTAGCATGTGCTGGGGAGGTGGTGTCTCAGCAGCGACTGTAAAAGATTGCATACCTACCGGCAGTGCTTGCTGTTTGCCTGCAAAAATAGGGTAACTTACAAATTAATGGATGATAAAAAGGATGCTTTAAAAAATTAAACATACCTCACTTTTTCTTCGTAGATATATGTATCAACCGTTTGTTCAGGCTGTGAAAGTTGAGCAATAAAATCCAAAGGAAGGAAAATAACGTTCTTTGTTTGGCTGTTATCTATACAAATTAATTTTTTAATAAGGTGCAAAATTATTCTGCCTGGACTTCTAATTTGTTTTACAAGTATCCTTACATCATAGATTTAGCAAAAACAGATCTTGTAAGAAGTACCTGTTTTACAAGGTCAAAAAAGTTTGTCTGTTTTTGAGGTTCTTCATACATGTATGCAGAGGTCATACATTATAGTGTGCTATTTTTAACAGATTTTTTTAAGTGTGGATTGTGTGTAATGTTTTGTTCATCTGTTATGTTGAATGGAAGGCATGCTAGTAAGTTGATAGAAAACTTCTAATCATCAACATTAATTTTATAACTTTTGGTCTAAATTGTTTAGTCTAAATTTAGAACTAAACAATTAGCATATTGAAACATAGCATCTCCTAAAAAGGAAATTCAAGATATGGTATATAACATCCTAAAAGTAGCACCCAGATAATTATTCACTTTAAATATTTGAAAGTCATTGTCAATAAATGTGATTGCTTAAAACTAGCAAATGCTTGAAAATGAGCAAGGTTGAAATAATTCAGAGTGTAATTGTGTATCTGTAAGTCTTTGTACTTGATTATTATTTCTCCTCTTAGTGATGTGTTTGGTCTTGTTGTTTTTCCATTTATAAAAGAAAGCTTTGCAGCAAAATCTCAGGTCAAAGCCCCATTTTCAGTTGTAGCAAGAATCAGACCTGTAAGTGAACAGAGCCTGATCTATGCTGTTTTCATAGGCTTCTGAAGCAGTAGGGTTTTGGTCCTTCCCAGAACACTTGAGTTTTGCTCTGCAAATATATATAAACCTGGTAAGCTCTAAAAGCAGGCATTTCTTCTTGCTTTTCCCATTAGTATGATGTACAATTAACCTTTTCCCCCACAAAATAATGTACTAGCTCTTTTTTATTCTGCAACAGGTTTTACCTTCGCTCCTAAGAATAAAAGGTAATGGAGACTGAACAACAGGAGGAAACCTTTACCAACACAGAGACAAATGGTAAATTTTTTAAAGGGCTATTTTATTTTGGGGGGAAGGAAACTCTGAGTCTTGGTGTTTCTAACTGTTTTGGAATGCTTTAACTGTATCAAATGCTTCATTTAATCTTTTAATTTTCATATGTCTTATGTGATTTTTGTATCATGAATATGTAATTTTTCTTTGGGAGTATTTTAGTCATGGTATACGTAACTAAAAGTTATAAGGACAGATTTGAAAATATTTGATAGCTAAATGCTCAGAATTTGTATGGACAATGTGATCACATAAAGATACTGTTAGGCATATCTACTGTATTTAATTTATAGCAGTTGTTAGTTTGAAGGAATGTGTATATATATGTGAAATATCTCTAAATATTAGCTAAATGAAAAACCTTTTGGACATAATTAGTGAAGAAGAGTTAGAGCATTAGTATTGATTCAGGCCAGTTTTTCAAAGCTATTTTAAATACTGCTTTCCTACTGTTTCACCAGTATTTCAGTATTGGAAAAGCTACTTTTAATCTTTTGTGCTTTAAGGTTTTCCCAGTTGTAAAAGAAATACTAAGTAGGTGATGCAGCACTGTTGTAGACAGTGTTATTTTTTCACAAAGTTTGAAAAATTCTTATTTCAGCTGCAGTTTATAGATTTGAATGAGTCTTCACTTATTAATTGATATGTAGACTGATGAAGTAAAAACCTGTTTCTGTCCTACAGGTGCTCAGGGTAGATGTCAGAAGTAAGCACTGCGCTAATGGGAGGGAATGCTTTACTAGGAATACAGTGCATAACTTGATATACAGTTTTATCATGACTTAGAAAGTTAAATATATATTTGTGTTTTCCCCCCTATGGACCTGTCTACAGGCAAACGTCCTGCAGAAGATATGGAAGAAGAACAGGCCTTCAAAAGGTCTCGGAATACAGATGAAATGGTTGAATTGCGCATTTTGCTTCAAAGCAAAGTATGCTCTTAGTATTGCTATGTTCCTGCTTATAGCTTAAGACAGTGGTGACAGTGTATATTTAGAAAGAACTTGTGCTTTATTTAAAATTTATTTAGGAATATTTGTGTGCATGAATGATAATAGAAGTGTATTGCAATCTTCAATATTTTTTTTCAAGGATGAGTCTAACAATCTATGGGATTTCTTTGATTTTAAAAAAATGTACTAATTGAAAAAATAAAGACATAGAAATTATAAGCCACTTCTCATGTTTGAATAGAACATAATTGTTTCCAGGGGAATGACTATGTATTAGTCTTTAGAAAGCAAGCAGTTTAGAAAATGATCCGCTTATAATTGTAAATTAAATATGAGACAAGATGAGAACTTCGTCAAGATTTTAGTAATTTCTCCAGATTTAATAAATCTATAGGTATCAACAGTAGGAAATAAGAGAGTAATGTTTCATGGATTGCAATTGCTTCATTGACTAGTATAAATTGTCACGGTAAAACTGCTATTTATGAATCTCCTTTAGTATTTCCAGTTGATGCAGATGTTTGTGCTGTCTGAAGTAACTCAGTCTTTTGTCTTGGGGTAGGGGAATGTTACCTTAACTCTACATGGCATTTCTAATGAATAGTCAAGTTATGTGGAGTGCTGCAAAATATTTTTGGTGCTGTTAGCATCATGTATGAACTGCATAGTAAAAGCAATAATTTTACATGTAGTTCTTGAAATAGCCTGGTAAAAAATTAGTTTTACAATTACCCCTCTTGAATACCTTGAGTTTATTCCTGTTGATTTTTAGCAACTGGAGATTAGCAATTGTTTATATTGGTTTTACATTCTTCAGACTGTACCTACCTGAGTGGTCAGTTGACTTACATAGGCTTCAGTCAAAAGTAGCATTTGCTCAAATGTTTGGAATGGGAAAGTGAAATTTGCAAACCTTAAAAAAGTGATCAAATAAACTAGCAAAGCTGTTGACTTATATAACATGCATGGAAACCCATAAGTTATTTTTTCAGTCATATTCTAACTATGAGATGGTTGGGGCCCTGAGCAACCTGATCTAGTGTGGGGGTACTTTTTCCCTGGGGGGGGGGGGGTTGGAATTAGATCATCTTTAAGGTCCCTTCCAACCCAAATCATTCTGTGTTAAACATGACAGATCTCAGGATAGACCTCTGTGGTACCCCACTTCTTACCAGCCTCTAGATGCAATAAGATCCATTAACTATTACCAATCATCCAACCAGTTTTTTATTCATCTGCTTGTCCACCTATGCTTCTATGAAAATACAGGCAGAATTGCCTAGAAACTTAAATTTGAAATTGAAAAAATATTACTGAGTATTTTTATCTCTGCATTGATCTTTTTTTTAACCTTTTTTTCCTCATGGTAAAACCACATCAGTTTGTTTTGATTTAATTTGAACCTTTCAAAAGGAAACAAGCCTCACCCCACCCTTAAATGCATCCCACAAGGTAATGCAGAAATAGATACATTGTTCTTAGTCTTCAGTTCAAAAAAACAGTCTGTGCTGTTTTACCCTAATGTAAATTCTGAAAACTATTTTCCAGAATGCTGGAGCAGTGATTGGAAAAGGTGGCAAAAATATTAAGGCACTTCGTACAGATGTGAGTATACAGGGGTTTGAATTAATTTAACACCAATTCTTCCAGGGCACTGCATTGAAAACTTGATTGCATACATTTCTAGAAATTGAGAAATTCAAACCTAGACAACAATAAGTTACTTATAATGATTGTTGGAGAAGATAACTTTAGTTTTTCAATTTGTGTTTTAATTGAAGCCCAGCTCAAGTTATGTGGGAGGAGAGGTTTATATTAAACCTCTTTGCTTTCAAACAGGGTTTCTCTAAATTACACAATTACATGAGTTAACATCTCTTATTAGAAATATTGTTAAAACTTAAAACCTGTAACTATACCATTTCCCATATATGTGAATCCATTATAGTGCTATTGAAAACTATCTCTGGTGGCTGGCTTAACCCAGCGATAAAAGAATTCTTGAACTTCCTTTAAAAAAAATCCCAAAACATAATGGTCCATCTGCTTTTGCTTTAACAGTGTGAACATAAAGCACAAAAACATTGATGTTAAGGTTGCACGATTTAGGTACAGGTACAGAACAGTAAAGAAACATTTTATTTTACTTGAAAGCATTTTTAAATGGTCATAACTTACTTAGCTATTCATATTGTATGTGGATTGACTCGTGATTCAACACACATTCAGTGTAAATGTTATGTATTTATAAAACTTGGCAATGCTTCTTAAATTCCATTTGTTTACACTCCTGTACTTAGGATCAGCTACAATTTTTTTCAAGCAAGACTGTGTTCAACACAATATTTGCTAATATATCATCACAGAATCAGTTTCATCTAAGTTCACAAACTATTGCAACTAGAATTGAGGATTAAGCTGAAATGGTCAGGAATCATGCCAACAAACTTAGGCAGCTAGTGTTTTTGTTTGTTTTAAGTAAATAAACACATCACTTTACTCCAGATAATTTAACTGGTCTGGAATACTAACTTTCCCAACTTGCCCAAGGTTTCAGTAATATGAATCTCAACAGTTTTTGTGTCTACCTTCATGAGCCAGCCTGCTACTGAAACATCATTGTTAAAAGTAAAATGTAGTTTAGTCAGATAACGTAACTTGTGAAGATCCATACTGTTAAGCCACATTTGACGTAGCAATCCATTATTGTGTTAGTCTTCAAAGCAACTTACACTTGCTTCATTAACTGAAAGTAATAAGTATAGTTTGTATTAAATTAAAATTTATTGCTTTTCCCCCTTTTCCCTCTCCTTGTTTTTTTGGCCATATATCTCCGTTGCCCATGTACTGGATCGACTTGCCCCTGCGTTGCCCACCATGACGTTGGCCCATCCGCCCCTGAACGCCCATGTGAAAACCCTGGTTGGCTATGCCCAAAAATGTGCTCGTTGCCAAACGGGTACCATACTTGACAACTACTGATTGAATGCCCATGCCCAATGCCAACATCCACGAACGCCAATGACCAATGCAGTACAATGCAAGTGTTTCAGTCCCAGACAGCAGTGGCCCTGAGCGGTATGTCCCAACAGTTTATGCCTCACTGCCTGATTAGAAAGAGAGAAATGTATTTTATTACCTGCCTTTGATATAAATAGTATCCCCTTATAGACCGTTTATTGTTTTTTTTTTTTAAAGTTTGCTGTCTTATTTTCCCCATTAAGTCTTTTTGTCACTGAATTTTTACGTGAGTTGGCCACCCAAACAATCCACTAATTTTATTTCAATGGAAAGAGCACAGCTTCAAGTGTTGTATATTTACTGTATTATAAATCAAATTGTTTCAGGAGTCTCTTGCTCTGGTCTTTGTGGCCCACCTTTCTCCCCCCAGCATTGTCCATTCATAATTATTTTTGCTGAAATACTAACTAGTTCACTTTTCTTCACTTCTCATTTGTGTTACATTTTTGTTTGTTTGTGGGGTTGTTTTTTTGTTTTGTTTTGGGGTTTTCCCCCTTGTATTTATTTTGCATTTTTTGCAGAGCCCATTAGTAATCTAATTTCTAACTGGTATCTCAACCTTACTCCAGATATAATGTTGACTACTTACATATCCTCACCTTTTCTACAAAAAGGTGTGCTAATTTTACCAATGTAATGGTAAGGGTATACTAAATTAGTGGTGGCGGGGAAAATGAATATTCACTCATACTTTAAGTTTTGCGTCGATTTCTTGCCTGGTTAATCTGTCTGAGCCCTTCCAAAAGCTCTCGTGAGTTCTCTTGCTCTCTCTGCAAGACCTGCCTAGCCTTAAATTCTTATATTCATCATGCATATGTATTGGACATAAACAAAGATGCATGTGTTGTAAATCCAGTGAACAGGTTTACTTTAAATGGAGAATATTAAATGTAAGGTCTTCTGTGTAGTCAGCCTTGTTAAAATTTTGTGTATGATTATGAATAATAAACTTATTTCTGCTACTTTCCACCTTCTCTGTTTTCTGACACTATGGCCTCTTAACAGTATCTTGAGTATAAGTGCAGATACAGAGACAATTGGAGAAATCTTGAAGAAGATTATCCCTACTTTGGAAGAGGTATGTATCGTAGGTTTGTTTCTTTTTCAGAGGTATAAATTTAGATTTTAAAACAAGATAATTCTAGATGATTGTGTCCTATTTTTAATATATTAAAATAGAAAGTAAAACCCATCCTTTTTTTGAAAGAAGACCTATAGTTCTCAGTGTATGTGTTGGCATTTTTTTAATAGGGGACAGAGAAAATTTCTTAGAAGAACAATATTTGGAACAGCCTCCTTCCCTTCAAACCACCTGTTTCCTGACTAGTTCCCAATTTAAAGTAGCTCTACTGTAATTTCCATTCTGCCTTTGCTTTGTAATCAAGTGTGTTGCACTGTTGGATATATTAAAATTCTATACAACAGCAATAATAATAAAATAAATAAAGAAAGCTAATTTGACATCACTTTGTGTTGAGGCAAATTACTTAAAAATGTGATTTTTTTTTTTTTAAATAGTAAATACAGTATTACAGTTCAGCAGTATTAAGTCATACCATGCTGTTTGGAGAAAAATCTTAACAAAGAAAATCAAAATTAGTATTTGGATTTTTCAATTTTTTTTTCCCCTGACTAATATTATATTCTTGTATGCATCTTACAGTACCAGCACTACAAAGGTAGTGACTTTGACTGTGAATTAAGACTTCTAATTCACCAAAGTCTAGCAGGAGGAATTATTGGTGTCAAGGGTGCTAAAATCAAAGAACTCAGAGAGGTACTGTTTCCTATTTTCAGATAAGCTGTTGCATAAATGCATTGTACAAGTTGAGTAACATTTACTGAATTGTGCTCATGTTTCCAGGTCTTGTTTCACACTCCATGTTGGTAGTAATTATGCAGGATTGAGTGTGTATTGCACCAGAAAATTTTGAAAAGCATTTGAATTTAATTATTTCTGCAGTATTATCAGGACTAGTAGTTCTGTAACTTTATGTCATTCAGAACTAGGCTAAAGCATTTAGAAATTCATAATTGCGTGCAAATTGTTAAAACCTGAATTAGAATATATAAACTAGTTCATAACATGAGCCATGTGCTGCCGCTTTTTCTCATTTTAGAGATCTTATGTCTTATGACCGAAGAGGTAGACCTGGAGACCGGTACGATGGAATGGTAGGAGGTTAAAATTTATTTTGCTTAGTAAATACAGTTAGCACTTTGAGGAAACTTCTTGAATACATACATTTAAGCGTGGAACATGTGTGCCTCTGATAAACTTTGATATCTCCAAAATGTTTTGGCCATACAGATGGTCTCCACAAGAATACAACTGTTTGAGGTGTAAAGAGTATTTGGGATGTGATCTGCTGTGTGATTTTGGTTTGTGGGATTTTTTGTTGGTTGGTTGGTTGTTTTTCCCCACCTACCATCAATAACAGAATAGAAAGTTGGTAGAGCACAGTCCCTGCTGGTTTTATTACACAGACGTTCTTGTAGACTGTTTCTTGTAAATCAGGATGACAGAAATAGAAATTGGGAGGCTGTGCAGATTAAGAAAGCATGTCAGAACAATGTTTTCCAACAAATGTTAACAAAATTTAAGAGAACATGAATAAGATCTTTAAAGGGATCTAGTTGGTCTGGCAGATAATTGCTTTTTCAATTCAGTTCTTTATGCCGATTTATGTCTGAAAAAAAATCTACTATGATTTCAAATTTTTTGGAGCCAGGACCACTGATAAGATGAATTTTAAATGAAATTAGATACATTTCAACCATGTTGGGTGGTGGAGAGAATTAAAAAACGCATAAAGATATTCTTCCATGTTGTACTCTGAAATATGACTTCCTGGTAGTAATTTATTGTATCCTCTTTCCTGGGAAGAGAAATTCTAGGTATCTGAGAGGTAAACGTCTGGTTAACAATCTCTTTTTTTTTTTTTTTCCCCTCTTCTGGCTCTGTTTGGCACATTCTTTAAGATGACAGGTTGGATGAGATTATTTTATTTTAAATAAATGGAAGAGAAAGTAGAGGAACTATGAAATGGGCTACTTAAATGAGATTTACACATTGGTGCCTCCTGGGAGGAAGAGGCAATTACTTCCAGTAACACATACTGGAAGAACATATTGAAACAATGTCACAATTGACGCACCGGAAGCCTAGCAGAAATATTAAAATTAAAGACTTGCATTTAAAATTACTATAACCAAACAGACCACCCCCACCCTTCCAAAAAAGAAGTAAATAAACCCACAATAAAACAAACAAACCCACAACATTAAAACCAGCAAGTTGTCTATGCTACTCAGAATGTTAAGAAACCAGGAGTCATGAACTAGACCTCTAAGATCACTTATTCGTATTTTCATGTTTTCAAAGCTCAGGTTTTGTGTTTTCTTATTTGCATCTGGTAAAACAAATGTCAGGGCATATAAACAGAGCAATCTGCCCTTCCTTGGGTATGTGACTGAGAAGTCTTCAGCTTGGGGCAATAGTTTGTTCTAGTTCTGTTCCATTCCATTTAGAATAGAGAAATCTATTTGAACTCTAGTCTGACTTTGATCAGGTTGACCTTGGCTTTCTTGACATGAATTTCTACAAATAAATAGGAGTCAGAAATATAAGGTCTTGAACTATTGTACATTTCACATAGAAACCATTCTGTAGTGAAACATTTAGAGTAAACCAACATCCTTGTGATTTGTTAAGTAATGCATGGGAAAGGCTAATTTCAGAGAGCAGGACTGCCATTTTACATAAATACATTAAAAAGCAAGAATAGTCTTTTCAGACCAACATCTTGGAGATGTTGAATCTACAGAAATCCTCATGTTCTGCCAGATCTCTTCTCTAAAAATGAGCAAGTTCAGACTTGTAAGACGGTGAACCAAGACTGGATGGTGAAACTTGACTTTTTTGAGATGTAACAAGACTGACAGTCTTGTAAATTTGAAGATGGGAGGAAAAAATAATTGTGTGTGTGTATATATATATATAATTTATTCTGAAGCATTTTACTGAAAAACATACATGCATTGTTTCTCTTATTTACAGTGGTATATATTTTAGGCTGTAAGTACTAAATGCCTATGGACATGACAGCTATTTTGATAGCTGAGAAAACACAAATGCAGTTCTGCTATTTTTTTTAACACCCCCATCCCCATGGGTGCTTTAGATATACAAATGCACAAAAACATACCAGGGAAAAAATAAGGTGGAGAAGTACATATAAAGCTGTTTAATCCTCCTCTTCCCCTTTTTTTTGTTATAATGGCCGATGCCTAATGCTTTCAAAGTATTTTTAAATTGGAGTTAAACAAGAGCTAAACCAGTGTCTGTTGTAGTGTATGTTCAGACACCTCATCTGGTTTCCTCATTCAAATGATTACTACTGCTAAATCATTATATATGTGTGTGTGTGTATACATGTGTCTGTATTAGGACTTCAATAAAGGTACATACCCTAAAAAAATATTAAACATACTTCATGTTTTAAGAGACTTGATGTTAAGGAGCATGTCAAAAAAGAGAGAGTGAAGAAAATATGTTTGACACATCTACATAAATACTAAAATTAACAAAATTTCAATTTTTACTCTTCTAGGCCAAGGAATTTCCCATAAGTTAGTATTGCATGCATATTTTTCAATTGCATGCAAAAGGCAATAAATTCTTATTCATACTAATTATTTTGTCTTATCCAGTCAGTGTTGTGTTTGGTTTTGATTTCATTTGCATTGGTTACCAGTAGTAACTAGCACAAATGAGTCTGTAGAGAAGAAAATTGTATGCACCTAATATTTTAGGAACCATTTTTAAAGGAGCACTTATATTTTCATAGAATCACAGAATATCCTGAGTTAAAGGGACTCACAAGGATTATTGAGTCCAACTCCTGGCTCTGTACAGGAGACTCCAACAATCCCACGCTGTGCCTGAGAGCATTGTCCAAATGCTTCTTGAGCTCGGGCAGCCTTGGGGCTGTGACCAGTGCCTTGGCTTCTAGTGCCCAACCACCCTCTGGGTGAAGAATTTTTCCTGGCATCCTCCCCTGACACAGCTTCATGCTGTCTTCTCGGGTCCTGTCACTGGTAACCAGAGAAGAGATCAGTGCTGCCCCTCCACTTCCCCTTTTGAGGAAGATGTAGACTGCAATGAGGTATCACCTCAGTCTTCCCTTCTCCCATGACCTCAGCTGCTCCTCATACGGCTTCCCCTCAAGACCCTTCACCATCTTCATAGTCTGCCTTTGGATGCTCTCTAATAGCTTAATATCTTTCTTCTAGTCTGGCACCCAAAACTGTACACAGGACTCAAGGTGAAGCCACCCTAGTGCAGAGCAGAGCAAGAGAATCACCTCCCTTGACCAGCTGGTGATGCTGGGCCTGATGCATCCCAGGACACGATTGGCCCTCCTGGCTGCCAGGGCACTGCTGCCTCATGTTAAACTTGCCATCGAGCAGGACCCCCAGGTCCTTTTATGTGGTGCTGCTTTCCAACATCTTTTTCCCCAGTCTGTACATCCAGGGTTGTCCCATCCCAGGTGCAGAATCCAGCACTTTCCCTTGTTGTACTTGATATGGTTGGTGATGGCCTCTCATTTGTCGAGGTCTCTCTGCAGGTCCTCCCTGCTTTTAAAGGAGTCAATAGCTCTTCTCACTTTAGTGTTGTTGGCAAAGTTACTTAGTATACCTTCAAATCTTGTGTCCAAATCGTTTATGAAGATGTTAAAGAGAGCTGGCCCTAAAATGGAGCCCTGCAGAACCTCACTAGTGACAGGTCACCAGTCTGATGTCACCCCATTCACTATAACCCTTTGTGCCTGACCCATGAGCCAGTTGTTCACCCATTGCATGACGTGGTTATCCAGCTGTGTGCTGGACATTTTGTCCAGAAGGATCCTGAGAGAGACAGTATTGAAAGCTTTACTGAAATCTAAAATGATCACATCAACTGGCTTCCCTTGATCAAGTGGGTGGGTTACCTTGTCAAAAAAGAAATCAAGTTTGTCAAGCAGGACCTTCACCTCATGAAGCTGTGCTGGCTGTGACCAATGACTGCAATGTAGTCATTATCTATCATGTGTTTTTCAGTAAATCCCAGAATAATCCTCTCCATAAGTTTAGCAGGTACTGAAGTGAGACTGATAGGCCTGTAGTTACCATGGTCAGCCTTCTTGCCCTTGAAAATTTGGACAACCTTTGCCAGCTTCCAGTCAGCTGGGACCTCTCCAGATTCCCAAGATCGTTCAAAAATCATTGAGGGAGGTCTCACAATGACATCAGCCAGCTCTTTGGGTACTCTTGGATGAATCCCATCAGGCACCATAGATTTATAGGGATGCACCTGGAGCAGCAGATCCTGCTGAACTATAAGGGAGTCAATCATTCTTGCAGTCACGGTCCTCCAGCTCAGGGCACTGGGACCTCCTTGGTTTGTCATCCGAGTTGAAGACAGAAGCAAAGAATGCATTAAAGACGTTTGCCTTGTCTCTGTCTCTGAGGTGGCCATCTTCATCCTGCAACAGGCCAATGTTATTTATGGTCTCCTTTTTGCTACTGATATATTTTTTTAAACTTTATTGTCCCCCACAGTTCTGGCAGCTTCAATTCCAGTTGAGCTTTGGCTGCCCAGATTTTCTCCCTACTGGGACAAGCACCATCTCTGTATTCTTCCCATATCACCTGACCTTGCTTCCACTGAGCATACACCTTCCTCTTTTGCCTTAGCTCCAGAAAAAGGTCCTTGCTCAGCCAAGCTGGCCTTCTGCCTCACCTGCTTGACTTCTGACATTTGGGAATTGCCTGTGCCCTTAGGAGGTGGTGCTTAAAAAGTGACCAGCACTAATGGACCCCAGCACCTTCCAAAGCATTTTCCCAGGGGACCTTATTTGTTCCCTGAGCAGCTTGAAGTCTCCTCTCCTCATGTCCAGGGTTGAAGTTTTGCTGGCACTTTTTTCCCTCTCACCAGAGATTTTAAACTTGATTGCTTTGTGGTCACTGTGGCCAAGATGGCCACCAATCACCACTTCACTCTTGGGCTCCTCTCTGTTAATGAGCAACAAATCAAGGAAGGCCCCTTTCCTAGTTGGCTCCCCTAGTACCTGTACCATTATATCATCCAGGTGTTTTTAGGAATCTTCTGGCGCTAGTTGTACCAGCTGTGTGGTGTTCCAGCTAACAACATCCAGCAAGATGAAGTCCCTCAAAATGACAAGAGCAGTTGATTTGGAGGTGTCCCTTAGTTCCTTAAAGAATAATTCATCAGTGGTGTCATCCTTTTTTTGGTGTGCCATCCATGTTATGTTGCATGTTTTAACTCAGTAAAGGCCTTTGCCATAATAGTAATTTGAAATGGATACTACAAATTGTATTTTTATAGTTTTGTTGAAATTTTTTCCCAACATTTGTTAAGGAAGACTAAAGGAAAGATATGCTATATATCACACTTTTAAAAAAAAAAAAAGTAATTGGATTTCCAATATAATTAGACATAGTAGATTATTAGTTTAGCTGTTGGCTGTATGAGGTATATGGAAAATAATTAATAACATATGAGAAGCTATCTCCTTCCTTTTTGACCCATTGGTGATACAGATATATCACTGACTGTTACTTGTTTTATTAAATGCCTTTCCTGTTTTATGCATAAGAGAAGTAGAAGGTTTTGGTATCTGAGAGTAACATCTTTTACTATATAGTGCAGTTTAGTACTTAGAGGTAAAAAAAAAACCAAGTAACCAACTGTTCAAGCTTTGCTCTGCCCTTAACTGTCTGAATCCTTTGTGTAAGAGGAAAATGTGTTTACACCACAGAAACAAGGAAAAAAGGATGTGTGACCAGTAACAGTTCCCTAGCAGTGAAAGTAAAAGGGAGTAAATCTTGTAACTGGTCTGTTATTTACTTTTGAGCCTTTGTAGTAGTTTTAAGTAGTGCAGAAAAATGTTTCTCTATATTGCTCTGTGTGTGTTTGCCAAGTTATCTATAAGCCTCCATAACATGGACTTAATTTGGATTAATTTCCTCTTTTTCTTCTATTACATTGTCCCTGGAAGATGATGCAGTGTCATGTAGATGCCTGTGATGACATGCAGCCACCAGAGTTGGTGAGTGTGCTTATGCTTTTATTTGACTAGTTTAATAGTTTGTTTTTGAGGAAAATAATTTGAATTAAGTGATAACTGGAATTTTTTGAGATTGCATGTAGTTAGTGGCAGTTTGCACCTTTGAAAAGTCCCTAAAGCTGTCATTGTAACTCAAGTTATTAGCAGTTTATGTCCTGAACAGTGAATCCTATACAGGCAGTTAATGTTCCACAATGGAAGCATGCAGCAGCACAGCCAAGAGAAGCTTTTCTGTTGTATTGTCTCTTTTGTACCCTATTTTACTGTTTCTGTTGTAACTTTCACTGTAACTCTTGCTTTGTCAGCGCCCTGTAGATGCATCTATTTAGGACTATGTTTTATTTTAGCTTCATCATGTTGTGCTTTCCCCTGTTTCAAATGAGGAATGCTAAAAGTAATTCTTTACTTATAGTTCTGGATAAAGTTGTGTATTACCTATCCATATATTTGGAAGTATTCCATTTGATTTGTGTTTATCAAACTTCTTACTCTTAGAGGGTTTAGGGAGGAAAGTTCAAAGGGTATCAGCAAGTGTTTATGCTGTGTAGAAGATGGCAAAGTGCTACCAAATATTAAATGTTACTTCCTAGCTTACATAAACGTTGCAGTTAGAATTACTCATCTGCTGTCAAATTAATTTGCTGTCTTGTAGTCTGGGGAGGGGAAGCAGCAGAAAGGATGAAGAAAATGATTGTTCATTTCAAGTTAGCCTGAAAAAGATATTCCCTGGGCAAAATATCAGCAGAAATAGGTAGAAGAGTATGTGTGAAATATGCAGCTCTGATCAGTCTCTGAATTCAGTTCTACGCAGTGTCCTTCATTGTTTTGTATTTTGCACTCCACTACAAGCTCTTTTTATATTGTATTGTGGTCAGTATTGCTAAGCAATATGATTGCACAACACAGGTTGCTTAGAAACAGATAAACAACTTTTTCTGAATAGGTTCCATTTTGATGTGGCTCTAAAAAGCTGACAGGTGTTTGGTTTTTGTTTTGGAAAAAATTATTGCATTACAACTTCTGTAAACAAGTAGTTCACTCAGATTCCTGTATTTCAGTGTTATCAGTTGAATTCTAGAGAAGTGTGCACATCTATTTCTGCTTCTACAGGAAGATTAAAATGAATGTGTGTGCATACAAAAGGCATTAGATCAAATTAAGTACTTGATATCAAGTACCAGTCCTAAAAATAAAAACAGTCAGGAGTGCTGCAGTACAGTGATTTGGATTTGTTATATGATAGTTTTAGCAGAACAGTAGTAATAAGTGTCATGATTATCCCTTCTAAGATGCAAAGGATTGTAGCATAGTCTGAATGGAGAGAGACAAGTTATAAAGTTATTAGAGTTGAATTGGTTTTTCCTCAAGATGGAGTAGGAGGGTTGACAGTTACCAGGTAAATGTCTTGTCCCAAACTGAAACTTTAATTTCTCCTGAGCTGTATAGGTAGTAGTAATAAGGCTGAACTCTCATCTTTGGATTTGAATACTAGTTTAGTTCACGGGTCAGGAGTAGATCAATATCAAGAGCTGTTTACCAACTGAATTGATAAGGTTACTTGGTAAATTGATATGGCTGGATCTTAATGACTTATTCTTAGAGATTTTAACAGAGCTAGCTAAAAGGTTCTTGTGAGATATTCCTCCCTGCCCTCTTGTTCCTGGTCTGCCCTCTTCTGCACTTTGTCTTTAATTACACTTAGATTAAGGTTGTAGGTTAGGATTTTTGCATAAAATAGGCTCAAAGTTAACAGTATAATACTTGAGATGAAAACATGTTAATGAATCATGGCTGGTTTTACTATTTAAGGTTTTTCTTTCTCTTTTTCTTATAGTTTGAGGGTGGCTCTGGATATGGTAAGTTTTTATAGAGAACTTTGACATGCACTTCATTTAGTCAGCAAGAGGCTTGATGCATATGTTTAAATCAGACTATTCTTACACAGGGGGCCGTGGTTCATATGGAGATCTTGGTGGACCCATCATCACAACACAAGTAACAATTCCTAAAGATGTAAGTAAAGCTGACTTGCTTTACAATTGTGTTTAAATAAATAAATAAAAAGTCACGGTCTTTTCTTAGGCTATGTAAGTAAATCAGAAGTATTTGGTATGCTTGATAAGTACTTTTAATATAAAGCGAGTGTTTCTAAATCATTGGAAGTTTATTCTTAAGGATGTTTGTTTTGTCTTGACTTTAGAGATTGCACTGAACTATTGTTAATTGTTAATATTCAATAATAGAGATGGTCTATATAGCTTGTTTTTACAAACACTTGGTTCTTCCAACTTTATCCCACCTGTGTTTAATAATATACATTACAGCGACTGCTTTGAGGTTGTAAAAGAGTTAAGTTTCCATTGAAACTCTTAAAACTAAATGGATGGAAGCTACTTGAACAGTACTGTGCAGAGGAAGTTATATCAAGAAATGAACGCTTTATTTTCTCCCCTAGTTGGCAGGTTCTATTATTGGAAAGGGAGGCCAGAGAATCAAACAAATACGTCATGAGTCAGGAGCTTCAATCAAAATTGATGAACCACTAGAAGGCTCAGAAGATCGAATAATAACTATTACAGGAACGCAGGACCAGATACAAAATGCTCAGTATTTACTGCAGAACAGGCAAGTTGAAGCTTAATGGTGTCCTTACTATCATTTTTAAACTGACTTTCCTACTACTACATTCTAAAGCTCTTCTCTGTAATATAGTTTTTAGAAGACAGGATTTAAGTAACTATTGAACCTAACTTCTCTAGTGGGAGATCTGCCTTGATTCTCTTTTCTCTGTTCTAACGAAAATGAAAATTCCCTCAAAACTAATCTTGATGGAAGACACCTTGGCCAAGCAGTCCTTTAATTTCTCTGGTGAAAATTGCTGCAAAAAAAATTACTTGTAATTAATTATATAGAACCTGTAGAAAATATAGAAGATTTCAGTGGACGTTGGTCTAGTTCTGTGTGGAAGACTAGTGATTTTGTTGTTTTTAGATAACCGACAACAAATCACAGTCTGCCATATGGCACAGGCCATGCCTCTACAGGACAAGTTGAAATCAATTGGTGCTCTTATGCAGCATTTCACACCTTGCTGGCATTACTTTCTCTTCTTCTGAATATTGATAGTTTTGGACATAGTTTAGTTTTGCTTTAATAACCTGTTGGCTATCATAGCATTTTTTAATGTTTACTTGAATGTTTGGCTGTAGATTACTAATATTTAAATGTGCTTTTAAATAATTATATGCCTATAATTATTAGTCATTAACCTTTTAAAATTATTTACTTTAAATAGTATTGGAAATTTATAGTTTAAGAATGCCATTGTAAATATTGATGCAAGATGTATGGTCAATCATTCTAATACATGCTTTTTTCTTTTTCTTTTATAGTGTGAAGCAGTATGCAGATGTTGAAGGATTCTAATGCAAGATTATTTTTTCTTTTTTATAGTGTGAAGCAGTATTCTGGAAAGTTTTTCTAAGACTAGTGAAGAACTGAAGGAGTCCTGCACCCTTTTTTTTTTTATCTGCTTCTGTTTAAAAAGCCAACATTCCTCTGCTTCATAGGTGTTCTGCATTTGAGGTGTAGTGGAATCTTTGCTGTACTTTTAATATCTGCTTCTGTTTAAATAGCCAACATTCCTCTGCTTCATAGGTGTTCTGCATTTGAGGTGTAGTGGAATCTGCTTTTCGCCAGATGTAATGTTTTAGTTCATTACAAATATTTGGGGTAGGAAAAGGTTGCACAAGACTTAACAGTGAAATTTCGAAACAGCAGCAGAGTGGATTTTACTTTTGTTCAGTGGTGATAAATTGTAATGTGGTTTTATTTTTCCTGTAGCTATTGTGAACACCCTGCTTTATGTACACTGTAATTTTTTAAATTTTTTTTTGAAGGGGGGGAAAGGACTGGTTGTTCACATGTCTCTGGCATCCTTTGAGGGCAGTGTGCAGAATGTAATGTTCTTTTTTAAGATGTATTTTACAATTTTTAAATAAATTTGGTGAACCTATTATTGGTGGACATTTTTTGATATATGTAAAGTAATATCTGAAATGAATACATCCCTTC